GAGCGTCTTGGGGCACACAACTAAACTTTTCTCTTCGTGGTCCCCCGTCCTGGGGCCGTCTTAGGGCCCTCTTGGGCGCCTCTTGGGCCCTCTTGGGCCGTGTTGGAGCTCTCTTGGGAGCCTCTTGGTCCGTCTTGGGGCGGGGGGGCCTCTTGGGCCGTCATTAACGCCGGGAGAGCCAAACAACTTTTTTTTGTGGTTTGTTGTGATATATATATATATATATATACACATATATATATATATATACATATAATGCACGTTTTCCGAAAAGGAAATCAATGATTTTGGCCTCTTGGCGCCCTCTTGGAACGCCCCTTGGGCGCCTCTTGGGCCGTCTTGGGCTCTCTTGGAGCGCTCTTGGGCTGTCTTGGGGGGGAACCCAAAGAAAACATGCAAAAACCCAAAGGAAAACCCGAACACGGCCATTCACACTCATTCCCTCCCCCTACCCCCCCCCCCCCTCTGCACTCCCCCATTAGGGGCTTCGCCCTACACCAGAACGTCATCACTCGTACCTCGCTCTTTCCGTTATCACAAGCGTCGATGTAGTATGTATCTTGGTTGCTGAAGGTGCTCCAGTAGACCTCAGTGGTACCCAACTTGAGTGATTCAATTTCTTTCTGGAACTCTTCAAGGCGCGCGCCGATGTCTGTTGGTGTACAATATGAATGCATTTCTTCCTGTATTGTATCGATGTCGTCTTCGATGTTCGTGATGCGGATGTTTTGCTCCTCCATATCGGCATCCACATTTTGCTTAAATCCCACCAGCCCTCTGGGTGTCGGTGTTCTAAAGAGTTTCCTCTTCCAACCACCTTCTTCCCCTTCGGGGAAGGGGTTACCCCGCCCCCTACCCCCTCCCCTGGACCTGGACGGAGGGTTCCGCGGGTCGTTGGGGCGTCCAAGATGGCCCAAGACGGCTCCAAGAGGGCCTCAGAGAGCCCAAGATAGCCTCCAAGATGGCCCAAGATAGCGCAAGATGCCTCAAGATGGATCCCAAGATGCTCCAAGAGGCCTAAAGACCGCACCAAGACTGCCCCAAGTGGCCAAAGAGCTCCCCACGGAGCTCCCCGAGAGACCATAATCATGCCTAAACCTAAGGAACATCGATGTTTTTGGCTTTCTCGCTCTTCCGCTTCCGATGGCCTTCACAGGCCTCAAGATGGCTCCAAGATTGCCCAAGAGGGCCCCAAGAGAGGCCCAAGAGAGCCCCAAGACGGCCCCAAGAGCGCCCAAGAGCGCTCCAAGATCGCCTCACGAGGGGCCCAAGAAGCGATTCGAGGCACTCTAGAGGGGCAGGGCTAATGATATACGACCCCCTTCTTTGACAGATCTCCTCCAACATGGCCCCAAGAGCGCCCCGAAGGCTCCCAAGAGCGCCCCAAGAGCGCCCCAAAAGGGCCCCAACAGGCCCCAAGAGGCGCCCAAGAGGCCTCCAAGAGGCTCCCAAGAGACCCCCAAGAGGCCCCAAGAGGCTCCCCGAGATACGCAAGAGGCCCCCGGGACCGCCAAGAGGCCCCAAAGACGGCCCAAAAGGCTCCCAAGCTCGCCATTGTCCTCCTCTTCTTCCTCCTGGTTTTCCTCCTCCTCCTTCTCCCCCATCCCTCTCCTCCTTCTCCTCCTCCTTCTCCTCCTCCTTCTCCTTCTCCTTCTCCTTCTCCTTCTCCTTCTCCTTCTCCTTCTCCTCCTTCTCGTCCTCCATGTCCTCGCCCTCCTCCATCTCCTCCTCCTCATCTTCCTCCTCCTCCTCCTCCTCCTCCTCCTCCTCCTCCCCCTCCTCCTCCTGCTCCTCCTCCTGCTCCTCCTCTTCCTCCTCTTACTCTGACGACGACGACTCCTCCTACATCCCCCCCCTCTTGGGGCATATGGCGGCTTACTCCGCTTCTTGTTCTTCTGCATGCTCCCCCGCTTCTATCATCACCCCCGCTCACCTGGGACTCATTTTTGGACGGGCTGGTGGGGATACGTTTTTTTTGGTCGGCGGCTCCGAGGCAACGGACAAGGAGCGGAAGCGGCGTCCGGGTCACGGTACGGGGCTAATTTGCAAGACAATTTGCCGCCAGAGTCGGCGGACAAAAATCGCACCTGCAAGACAAACTCGTAGTTGCACGTGCACGCTGGTGGGGATACTTATTTTTATCTGCGGCCCGCAAGGAAGAGCCCAGAGGGCGTGTCAATCGGGCTGACTGGGGCACAGAGCCAGATAATTGCGAACCCAGCTGTCACTGTCGACGACAGCCGACCGCACATGCAGTCATGCAAAACCAATTGGGGAAAACGGGCAGACGGAAGCACCAAGCCTAAGAGATGCAGAACGCCTGCCGAGAGCGAGCCGCACGTGGCGACGCACGTGGCGCCAGCACCCCGAAGCCGGGCGCTGAGCAGGGCGACAGGAAAAGGGACGAGGGGGGGAAAAGAAAGATGCCTCACTCACGGAGCACCAGGCGCTCGAAGGCGGGCCGTCACTGAACCAATAAATGGTGGACAAGTCGTGAATCCCGAATGGCTGGTGGGGATACGCGAAGCGTCTAGAGTTCTTTGAAATCATACCCCAATGCCCGGGACACCTTCATGACAGGGGCAAGGTTCCGGAACATGGTACTCATTGTGACTGGTGCCTCAGGGTAAGGTATTTGTGCAGGTGGGAAACGAACTCCTGGAAACATGTCGTCTCGAAGGAGCGCGGTTAGATACCCGCCTCAATTTCGGCACCATCCATTTGCTGCAAAGAACTGTTGATCCGTGCCTCCACGCGGCGCCCGGTAGCGGATGCGGAAGTGGAAATCAAATGTTTTTTGTCTTGGATGTTTCGCAAACAAGCTGAGAGTAGAATATGCGAGCCCAGATGAGAAAAACAATTATAGGGATGCTGGATGCTTGATGCTTGAGCCGAAATGGCTGGAGCCAAAATGGCTACGGCAGCGCCGATAACAACATTCACACCAGCACAAACCTCCATGTCCGCGCCAACGACAACACCAACAGCGGGTACCAATACCGTCTCGCATACGTTGCGCCGACACCTGCGACAACTACCACAATAGAGTCGACGCCAGCATCGACACCAAGTTTCATGCCGGCATCCACGCTTACGATCGTGCTCGCCAGCGCCGACGCTGACAGCACCGACACCAACACCAACATCTACGCTAACGTTCGCACCAACGCCAACGCCAGCAACGGTACAAGCACCAACGTCTATGCAGGTGCGACGCGACGGGTGGCGTGGGCAGCTTCAGGGAACGTGGGCCAGCTGGAGCTCGACGGCGGGCCCCCGCCCCAACAGTACGACAACGCAGCAGCGGACTCCGATGACTTTGACGGCCAGTCCGAGCTCAGCGAATGATTCCGACACCACAGGCACAACAGGCCGCATGATTCTGACGGTCAGAACGAGCGTTACGACTACGACGTTGGTGTCGACGTTATCGGTAGTAGACGGTTATGCTACGTCACCATTTTGAATGCTTGGCGGATTCCCGCTGCGGGATCGACCCATGTAGGTCGCGTATTCCATCCAACTACGTCGCTGAATCGTCCCGCCTAGCCAGCGCTTTGTAAACATAGTGGGCCCACCCGTGGTGGTTTGTAGTTGTGTGAAGTACTGCGATGTTTGATGATACCTGTTATTAGAGAAATGATATGGACATATTTTGATAAGGTTTGCATTGGTATTATTCTTCGCCGCCAAAGCCGTGTCTAATATAGAGCCGGAGGCGAAAAATTGTGCAACGATCTTCTTATTCGGATGGTGGCCGCAACAAGTCCTAAGTCAAACTTTGCCTGTGATCCAATATCATTTTCATCGGATTTGTCCACTTTCTGATCTGAGAAAGAGCGCGTTCTGTGGTCGCTTGGAAGGGGAAGGGGTTTGGAACTGGACCCCCTCCCCCCCTGGATGGAGGGGGGGGTGTTCGAACCCCCCCCTCCTCCCCTACTTCTCCTCGCTCCCTCTCCTCGGGCCGGCGCCTGCGTCGGCGGCGGCTGGCGGCGGCGGCGGCGGGGACGACGATTTCTTTTTGTAGGCTGGCGCCGGCGCCTGCGGCGGCGTGCGGCGGCGGCGGGGAGAGTCGACGAGGACGACGGTGGTGGTGGTGGTGGGTTGTGGTGGTGGTGGTGGTGGTGGCAGTGGTGGTTGTGGTGGTGGTGGTGGTGGTGGTGGTGTGGCGATTTGTTGTGGTGGTGGTGGTGGTGGGTGGTGGTGGGTGGTGGTGGTGGGTGGTTGAGTGGTTTGGTGGTGGTGGTTTGTGGTGGTTTGTGGTGGTGGTGGTGGGTTGTGGTGGTGGTTTGGTGGTGGTGTGGTGGTGGTTTGTGGTGGTGGGTGGTGGTGGTTGTGGTGGTGGTGGCTGTGGTGGTGGTGGTGGTGGTTGTGGTGTTTGTGTGGTGGGTTGGTGGTGGTGGTGGTGGATTGAGGCGGTGGTGGTGGTGTGGTGGTAGCGGTGGTGGTGGTGGTAGTGGTGGTAATCGTCGCTGCGTCCCCGCCGTCGCCTGCGTCAGCGCCGGCGCTGCTGGCCGCCGCCGCCGCCGGCGCCAGCGCCAAAGGGGGGGGGTCAAAACCCCCCCCTTTGGGCAACCATGCCGATGTAGCTCCTATATTGCATTAGGCATCCGAGACATTATTACGAGCATGCCTTACCTATGCGAATCTGTGGAAATTTGCAATATGGGGTCTTCGGCTGGACCATGTCCTCAAGCGATTTCCGAATAAGTTACAGACGCATGACGATCAAATCAGTGGACAAACCAATATGCGAGTCCTCTGACCCCTCTTCGGTAGCCTTGAACACATTGTAGCATTTGAACGACAGAACAGACGAATCTGCTGAATTACATTACGAAGCCCTCCAACTTACGAAAAGCTTGGTGACCATCGTGCTCTACCAGGCTGAACTATTTTTTGGCCCGCCATACCTCTGTCCACACGCGTCAGGGCCCAGACCAGGGTGGCAGCGCCGCCTAGACCTCGACCTCCGCCCCCGCGGCGGCGCCGGCCAGGGGTCACTCCTCCAGCGCCAGGGTCCAGAGCAAGGGCCCCGTGGCGTAGACCTCGACCTCCGCCCCCTCCACCGCGTTGGACGTGGAGACCAGGGCGCCGAAGCGGAGCTCGGCGTCCTGGACGTCCCACCGGAGGCCCGCCGTCGAGGCCCTGCACGGCCCGTCGATCGGCACCAGCCCGCACGGCCGCCCGGCGAGCCCGCGCACGGGCAGCACGTGGCGCACCCCGCCCTCCAGCACGGCCATGGCGGTGGCCTGCGCGAGGCACACGGCGTGGCGCCCGCCGCCCAGGCGCGCCAGGCTGTTGACGATGCCGAAGAAGTGGTCCAGGCGCCCACCCAGGGAGGAGGAAGACGATGGTGAGGAGGAGGAGGAGGAGGGAGAACAGCGCAGGTCGGAGGAGCGGAGGGGGAGGAGGAACAAGAAAGTATTTGGGTGTGATGGTGGTGGTGGTGGCGGTGACGGTGACGGTGAAGGTGACGATGGCGATGACGATGATTAGGATGATGAAGATGACGATGATGGTGATGATGGTGATGATGATGGTAATGATGATAAAGACGGCGATGATGACCATGATGATGATGCTGACTATGATGATACTGATAATGATAATGATGATGACGATGATGATAATGTTGTTGATGATGATGCTGATGCTGATGGTTATGTTGATGATGCTGATGATGAATCTGATGCTGGCAATGCTGACGACGATGGTGATGATGATGGTGATGATGATGATTATGGTGATGATGGTGATGATGCTGCTGATGATGATGACGATGAGGGTGATGCTGATGATAATGATGATGCTGCTGATGCTGATGATGATGAGACTGATAATTATAATGATGATTATGATGATGATGCTGCTGATGATGATGAAGATGATGATGGTGATGGAAATTGTGACGGTGGTGATGATGTTGATGTTGATGTTGATGATGATGATGAGGAGGAGGAGGAGGATGAACGACCGTACCAAGTGGAGGAGCAGGAGGAGAATAAGGAAGAAGTGGTTGAGGGGCAGGAAGTTGAGGAAACAATCAGAAACAGGAACAGGTTATCGAACTCGAGGCGCCCGCCAGAACAGAGCTCCCCGACGACCACCGCCAGCGGCGACGTCACGGCCCGCAAGGCTTTGTCCAGGTCGGTGGAGTCCTGGTCGTTGCTGAGGTCGCGCACCACAGAAGGGAGGGAGGGAGGGGGGGAGGGAGGGGGGGGTGAGGGATGAGGGAGGGAGGGAGGGAGGGCGTGGGGAGGGTAGGGAGGAGAGGACAGCGATGACGAGATCATCAGGCCAGGTGTGCCCGAGCCAGATCTGACAAGCTACTCCTCCCACCCATCACTTCCCGTTGCGCTGAATTCTTGGGATCCGCCGACTGGGGCGTACTGGCGGACCTTCATCCCCCAAGTGACCCCACGAAAGGGCGGGCGTGGCAGTGGAGATGTGTAAAAAGGCGGTGGCAGAGGACAGTGACGATGACAGCGCCCAAAAAAAACAAGACAATGCGAATCCAAAACTGGGGGCGAGGGTATCACGCACGATCCAGGTGCAGAGAACTAGACTCGAGCTCACTCCATTGCTGGTGTTCTCGCTTGCTCACTCCATTACTGGTGTTCTCGCTTTGCTGACCCAAGCACTCGTCTCAGCTAGTATACCCAAGGTTTTGTTGTATATGAGCCAGAGGGCCAGACAAAGACGAGCGAGAGAAAAATGAGGATGATAAGAAAGAGAGATGAGGAGGATGATCAGCAGCAAGGTCATGAGTAGTAGGAGCAGCAGGAAAGAGAAGGGCGGCAAAGACGAAAAAGGAATATTATCCAGCAGTGTGGCCTGTGCTGGGGTGGGAGCCCCATTCTGAACGACAGGAGCCAAGCATCGACCATGAAATGTGATGAAATGTGGCTGATGCTGCAGCAGGAACACCATTTCAGAAAAGGCCGACGACGTTCCCATCGACGCAAACGTAGGACCACAGCTCGGTTATCGCAATGAGCGTGCTGTAGAGGGCCAGCAAAACGACGGAGCGCAAGAAGTCTCGGCGACGGGCGGGGCACGCCCGCCAAGAGGCGATCGAGCTTTCCATGCACCATCTGGCTCGTGCTGTCAAACCACTGGATCGTGGGAGCGGGAACGGACAGGAAAACGTCGCCCGAAGACTCGAGACGATCAGTGAGCAAGGAGAGGTCCCATCTGCGGGCGGTTGCAAGCTCGCCTGGCCTTAGGGACACGGTGAAACCTGCAAGCAGCAGAGTGGCCATAGGAGTAGGTCGGACCTGTCCACCCACAGGGGGATTTTGGGCGACAAATTAGAAATAGTCAGACATATACAAAAATACTCAAAAATGATCAACAAACCGTCCCCAGACTATTTTTTGACTATTTTGGATTACTCCTCCTGTAGAGGGACAGGCCCGACATAACCATAGGAGGCCACTCCCATAGGACACAAAAACCACCATGGCGCGCAACAGCGCTTCCGGCGGCGCTGGGCGAAGGCAGGGGGGCTCAGACAGCGCCCACGGATTCGCTACATCACACGCCTCGGTGGGAGAAGCCCTGGAGTGGGGGCGATGCGCCAGGACCCCCAAAATCGCTCGCACCAGGATTTGGCGCGGAAAGCCATAATCGTGCAACCACACTCCGAAGGTCACGAGCACTCTCGCGAGCAGGATACCGCTGCGATACCGAACGGTTGGTGCCACTCCTGTGTGCCCAGCGCACCACAAATCGAACACCGCAAGCGATCGAGCGCGTCGGGTGACGTAGAGGGGGCGACACGCAAGCCGCCCCTTCTCCCAGCAGGAGCCACGCAGGATCCATCGTGAAGAGCAGGCTCCTGGCGCCGTGCCGCGACCGCACCCGATACCGCCTGCTGGCCAGAGGCATCGGCAACACCCGCGGCGTCGGAGGGCCGCCCACGCCTGCGCCCGCGGCGCGCGCTGCGTCCTCGGGCCCTGGCTGCAGGAGCCGTGCGACGGGCCCCGCGCGGTGCACAGATCGGCCTCGCGGGGCCCGGCGGTGCACCTGCGCCGCTCCCTGGAGCCCGTGGGAAGAAAACACACACAGAAAAAACACACACACACACACTCACACACACACATAGTGGGAAAAAACACACACACAGTGTGCGTGTGTGTGTGTGTGTTTCCCCACAGTGTGTGTGTGTGTGTTTCTTCCCGCGGAAGCCTCCCTCGCGCCACCAGCTCACAGAGCACCGCCCCACTGGGGGTCGGAGGCAGCTGGGATCAGAGGCTCGGCTCCCGGCAGGCGCTCGCGCCGCCTGCCGGCTGCAGGGCTGGGCGCCCTGGCAGTGGCAACGGACCCCTACGGGCCCCGCCTCGGAGGCAAGCCGCTCCGCCCTTTTTGGTTCTCGGCGCCCCGCTGGTTGTTGGAGCCGTTTTTTGGTTTTCGGCGCCTCTTTGGTTTTCGGCGTTCGTTAGGCTTTCCGCGCCTTTTGGTTTTCGGCACCCCTTTGGTTTTCAGCTCTCTTTTGGTTGTTGGCGCCCGACAGCGAATGGAACTCGTGCGACTCCTCGAACCGCCTCTCGTCGCCGGTTGCACGGCGGGCTGCGGGCGCCAGGACAGCGGGAACCGCAGCGCTGCCTTGGCGGGGGCGCCGCCAGAGCGGCGAGGCGGGCCAGGCCCTCCCTCGGCGGCAGGAACCACTCCCTGCGGGGCCGCAGCAGCAGCGCTGGCAGGGCGCATACCTGTTGAGGAAATCGGCATCGCGTCCACCCGTGAAGCCACGCACGGCCGCAGGACATCGACGGGCCGGGAGCGCGGGGGCAAAGCGCTTGCGGCCATAGCGGGCGGGACTGGATCCCCTGACCTCTGGAGAGTGGAAGGAACCTCGCGGAAGGGTCTCCTGCCAGCTGCCGCGCTCGCCTGATCATGAGGCGCCTCAAGCGACAGAGACTCAGCGGCCTCAGCCCCGGCACCAGCGCGGGAGGTGAGGCGGAGGAGCCTGAGACGCAGGCCCCTCAGCCGAAACAAACCAGCGGCGGCCGGGGCGGCGGCTGCCTCGGGGCCCCCCTCGGGAGGCGATCGCAAAGGCACGGGCAGCGGCGGCGGGCGCCTGGGGGCCCTGCTGCGGCGCGCCGGCAGCCTGAGAGCGGGCGCCCTGGCGGCCTCGGGCGGGGTCCGCGGGGCACGGCTGGAGGCGCACCGTTCCGACTCTCGGCGGCGCCCCGCGCAGGTGCGCTGGCGCACCGCGCGCCCAATTGCAGCAACAGGCAACGCTGTGACGCCCATGTGCCGCCCCTTCGCTCAGAGCGGCGCGGGGCACGACAGTGGCAACCCCGTGGCGCCCAGGTGCCGCCCGTTCGCCCAGAGCGGCGCGGAGCGTGCACCACAGTGCCGGCGCGCGGTCGGCCCGCGCCCTCTGCGGCCTGCGCCGGCGCGCCGCGCGCCCAAATGCACCGGTTCTTCTATTGCCCTTGCACAAGGTGCGGTCGTGGCCTGCGCGGTCTGATCTGCTCAAGTTTCACACGGGCCTGCCTTGTCCATCGGTCCAAAGACTGACTTGCTCTACCTATTGCTGCAGAGTTGGCCGCCGAACAGGCGCAAGCGGAAGCGACGGAGAACTTCATCGTCTGGGTATCACAACAGAAAAAATGATTCGAACATCGCAGGAGTTGTGGCGTCGAGTCTGGATGCTCTTTCGTCCAGGGTAACTGAGTCAAGCCATCCTTGGCTGCACATCGGGCCTTCCCGCAGCAACTCACGCTCAAACTCTCGCACCTTACTGGCGTTCCCACTCGTCTGCGCCCAAGTCGGCGCGCAGTCTGCCGCCATGCTGGTCCAGGATCCTGCGTAGTCCGCCATTGCTTCTGCGTTCGAACAGAACGGCGCTACTTTGGCTGCCATCGCAACCGGGATCCGCAAGACCTTTGCCCAAGAACAACTCGGCGATCTGGCGATCACGGCGGGCGCAAATGCAGCAGCCAACGCGCCAGCAGTCCCAGCCGTGGCCGCGGCGCTGCAGGGCCACACTTCCGAGCTGAGCAATTCGATGCAGTCTGAGATCGACTGGCGGGCGGACCACATTTACCCGTACAGGGCCAAACGGCGCGTTCTGTCTATGGCGGAGTGGGCGGCGGCCTGGCGCGACCTTGTTGTGGACTCGGACCAGTTAGTTGTCTTGGACGATACAGGCGGTCGAGCAAAACCCAAACCTCGCAAGCATTTGGGCCATGTCGGCTGCGCGCCCAGGCAAAGCAGAGCTCGCAAAACTGAA